TGGGAAGCATCAAATGATGCACGTGAGTGACTTATTCTGTTTTCAAGAAAATGTGTGTCAAATATGCAATTTCAATAACCATTTTGTTTTTTTGTCAGTGGTTTTTTGCAAGTAAAATTGTTTTTCTATGAAAAAAAGTGGCTGTTTCTGCTTGCAGGTTGAAGTATCATGCAAGTACTTTCCCTGGGAACAATTGTACAGGAGAAATTAGATACAGGAGAAATACTTTACACCCACGTTCCATGTTATCACTCAAAATATTACAAATATCAGTGCCTAAATGTTGAGGTTCAATGCAATTAATAATATTTTACTAATAAATAAATATTGGTATAGTTTGTTTTTTTAGGTTTTTGCTGTAGGTTGCATGCCCTAGCCAGAGAGAGAAAGAGAGACAGGAAGTGAGAAATCACCACCCAGGGGCATGGCCACACCGCAATCCCTTCTCCCCCATTCTCCTCTTGGGATCTTGGGCATGCATGCACATGCGCCCAGTGTGAGTTTAAGTTACCAGATCTGGGACGCAAGCCATGGTCAACTACATGGCAGTCCAGCGACATAGCAATTATGCTAACTGCTGGTCCTTATTTTTTATATATTTTTAATTATTATTTATACATTAAATCATTATACATCATTTAGATTGTGAAGCGACTTTACCCAGCATGATATACACCTTAGTCCAGCCCAGTTGAGACCACCATACATATCCTCGTCAACGGATAATAAACCTTATCTGTGTCCCACAAGTGTCTTACTTCTCCATTTACCCCCCAAATTTTCTATGCTCTTCCCCTCTCTCATTCTCTTTCCACTTTGTCTCTAGTGTCCATTATAATTTTTAATACTTTTATGTCCTCCAGTCTTTCAGTCTCTACCATAGAGTGTAGACAGTCAGTGTATGTTAAGTGGAGACATACAATGTCTCTCTTCCATAGCCTGACTTGCTTCACTCAGCATCAAATTTTTCATATTCATCCCCTTTCTATCAAATTCCAGGGCCTTGTTGTTTTTTTATAGCTGAATAGTATGTGGAGAATGATATGGAGGTCCCTCAAAGACCTTCAGATAGAACTACCACATGATCCAGCAATTCCACTCCTGGGTATCTACCCAAATGACAGGAGAGCACTCAGTCAGAAAAGCACTTGCACATCTATATTCATTGTAGCCTTATTCACGATTGCATCAGCTTATTTTATTCCAACCATTAGAATGTAATCTATTATTATTATTTATTATTATATTACATAGACAGGTAATAATTATAAATATTTATGGGACATGATGTAATATTTCAATACATGTATACAATGTGTAATGATCAAATCATGATAATTGTCACATCTATCCCTATTATCACTTGAGTTGGGAACATTCAAAATCCTCTCTTCTAGTTTTTTTTTTTAAAACATATACACTAAATTATTTTTTTATTCAGTCATCCTTCAGTGTTATTAAACTCTAGAATTTATGTCTTCTTTCCAGCTACAAATTTGTACTTGTTAGTCAAATTTTCCCAACCTGTTCCCCCAACCCTTGCCAGTTTCTAGCAGGCACTATTCTGCTCTCTACTTCCATGAGGATATCCTTCAGCTTTCACATATGAGAGACAGCTTGCAGTACTCTTCTCTCTCTCTCTTTTTTTAGAGAGAGATTTTTGTTATATGGTGCATACATTCACTGGAGAGACAAGTGAGACACAGAGACCAAAAACAAGAAATCACCCCACCCCATGAGGGATGGCCACACCATAATTCCTTCCCCTCCATTCTCCTCCTGAGATTTTGGGCATGCATGCACATGCTCCTGGGGTGAGTTTTAAGCCACTTGGTCTGGGACTCAAACCTTGATCAACTATGCAGGAGTCCAGAGTATTGTTAATGACTCTTTCTACCCCTAAATGATTTCGTGACATCATGCACTGACATTGAAAAGCATTATTTCACTGAGTTATGTATCTTCTGAGGTTGGCACACTTTATTATATATTTTTAAACCACATTTTAAAAATCATCATATCTCATCAAAAATGTCTTTAAAGTATTGGGAAGCATCAAATGATGCACGTGAGTGACTTATTCTGTTTTCAAGAAAATGTGTGTCAAATATGCAATTTCAATAACCATTTTGTTTTTTTGTCAGTGGTTTTTTGCAAGTAAAATTGTTTTTCTATGAAAAAAAGTGGCTGTTTCTGCTTGCAGTTTGAAGTATCATGCAAGTACTTTCCCTGGGAACAATTGTACAGGAGAAATTAGATACAGGAGAAATACTTTACACCCACGTTCCATGTTATCACTCAAAATATTACAAATATCAGTGCCTAAATGTTGAGGTTCAATGCAATTAATAATATTTTACTAATAAATAAATATTGGTATAGTTTGTTTTTTTAGGTTTTTGCTGTAGGTTGCATGCCCTAGCCAGAGAGAGAAAGAGAGACAGGAAGTGAGAAATCACCACCCAGGGGCATGGCCACACCGCAATCCCTTCTCCCCCATTCTCCTCTTGGGATCTTGGGCATGCATGCACATGCGCCCAGTGTGAGTTTAAGTTACCAGATCTGGGACGCAAGCCATGGTCAACTACATGGCAGTCCAGCGACATAGCAATTATGCTAACTGCTGGTCCTTATTTTTTATATATTTTTAATTATTATTTATACATTAAATCATTATACATCATTTAGATTGTGAAGCGACTTTACCCAGCATGATATACACCTTAGTCCAGCCCAGTTGAGACCACCATACATATCCTCGTCAACGGATAATAAACCTTATCTGTGTCCCACAAGTGTCTTACTTCTCCATTTACCCCCCAAATTTTCTATGCTCTTCCCCTCTCTCATTCTCTTTCCACTTTGTCTCTAGTGTCCATTATAATTTTTAATACTTTTATGTCCTCCAGTCTTTCAGTCTCTACCATAGAGTGTAGACAGTCAGTGTATGTTAAGTGGAGACATACAATGTCTCTCTTCCATAGCCTGACTTGCTTCACTCAGCATCAAATTTTTCATATTCATCCCCTTTCTATCAAATTCCAGGGCCTTGTTGTTTTTTTATAGCTGAATAGTATGTGGAGAATGATATGGAGGTCCCTCAAAGACCTTCAGATAGAACTACCACATGATCCAGCAATTCCACTCCTGGGTATCTGCCCAAATGACAGGAGAGCACTCAGTCAGAAAAGCACTTGCACATCTATATTCATTGTAGCCTTATTCACGATTGCATCAGCTTATTTTATTCCAACCATTAGAATGTAATCTGACCCAATATGATTAAAAGACAGTCATTGGAATCACTGAAAATAAAAATGTGAATATTTCTACTAAACCAAAACCCAAATAAACCCTTCAAAGCAAACATTAATATTTTAATCCCCTGAGCATCAGAGAAGACATCAAAATTGGGTTAACTTTTGATCCAGCCTTCAGGAAGCCTTGTGTGCATGTAAAGCTAACGAATCGCTCAGGTCAAGCGGTGATGTGAGTCTTGGTCACTTCTAGTCAGAACCATTTCACAGAGGACCGAAGAGGATAAAGTTGGAACCTAAAAGTAAAAGAACAGGTCAGAACAAGAGGTGCTCAGTAGAAAAGCACAAAGCACAAACTAGAACCACACTAAGAGTGGACGGATGGTATTCCATCAACAAGGTTGTTATTTCTGGTAAATTAATAAATTGAAACTTTGGGTCAACTCAAGGCCTTTTGACACGTTGGTAGGGTTGTAAATCTGTCTTTATTCTGCCAGTACTTCCCTAATGACTTTAACGTCTTAAATAGGAACAAGTGTATAATAAAAGACTTTTCATTTCAGAGTTTCTCTAAATTCAGGTTGATTATAAGGGCATTAGAGGTCATCTTGTCCAACTTCAGTATTTTACGGGTGAAGAAAACGAGATCCTTAGAGGTTATGTGGTTTCAAATATCCCAAATCAGGACTAGAGCTCACAAATTCTTATCATTTCATATAGTTAGTTAAATATGATCCAAGAATCATCACACAGGGCATGTTTCTAGTCTATTTAAGCCATTTTTATAGGTTAAAAAAATTCTTAAAATGACATTTTTTCCTTCGTCTGACTCACCTTTTTTTTTTTTTTTTGGAGAGGTTTTTGCTATAGGGCACTTGCGCTCGCCAGACAGAGAGAGAGAGACAGAGAGCCAGAAAGCGAGAAATCACCCCCCAGGGGGGATGGCCACGCTGCAATCCCTTCTCCTCCATTCTCCTCTCGGGATCTTGGGCACGCACGCACACGCACCCAGCGTGAGTTTTAAGCCACTGGTCGACTACGTGGGAGTCCAACGACATAGCCATTATGCTAACTGCTGGTCCTAAGTCTGACTCACCTTTATAGCAGACTCAAAGATGTCAAAAGTTGCTGGACTATGAGAATATTGGATTACCCAAAAAGTGAAAGAGTTGAATTTTTTTTGAATGGTATATTGTCATAGCACAAGTACACTTGTACTCTATGTCATCATTTTCTAAGCTAAATAATGAATATCTAATTTCCATTGTATTGTTCAGTTGTTTTTTATTTAATCTATCAAAAATAAAAGTGCACCTATTTCTTGGATTGGAGTTTGGATTCTGGAGCATCTTAATATGGTTTGAAAATTGATTCCATCACATACCAGGAACGCGGCCTTGGGTAGGGCACTTAACTTGTACCTTAGGTACCACACTTGAAAATGGGAGTAATAGAATGTGAAGGTCAAATGAGGTGATGCAAATAAAAGGTTTAACACATAGTATCCCTATGTAAGTGATAGCCATTATTATTGTTGTAGCTACTTCTATTGTTACATTTCAGTGTTTTCTTTGAGAGAAAAATAATATACTTTTGAGAATCTGCTTAAGTTCCATGTTATTTTGTACATGCTAGGATGTCAGTATTCCACATCATTTATGCACTCTAATGATTTTGTTTTGTATGTATTTTAAAAATCAAAACATACTAAATAAGCTTCTTCCTTCTTCTGCCCCAATACAGATCACACATGATTTGGAATGGAATTTACTTTACTGCAAATGTCATAGAATATTGATATCCACTAAGTTTATTGCATTCAATATTCAGTTTAAGAGGTGGTCTTTCTGAAAGTAAGTAGATGTGAGTTCTGTAAGCTACTATTCTATTTAAAAATAGAAACTTACAGTTAATGTGCAAAAATTGATAAGACTAGAGATCTTTCAGTTTTTAAAATGTAAGGCATATTTGAATGTTTACATAAGCATGGATATTAATTCACAGCAAAACTCCTGATTTCTATTATTAAAAGAAAAATAAACCAATTTAATAGAGTAGTGTTTTACTGAGCAAATTTTAACATGATTTAAATAAGCAGTTGTTTCCCGGCCTCCAGACATCTCTTCTAGCCTCATGGTCAACTTGGTATTTAAGCTCTGGGAGAGGAAAATGACATGTAAGGGAACAGGAACATGATGTACAGAAACCAAAGGGAAGGAATCAGGTAGGAAAACATTTGGGTTGGTTACTTCTGATGTTTGTCTGCATTAACACTGGTGAAATGGCCGGATGCCTGTGATTGACTGTAACCTAGCAACCAGCTCAGAAAAACAGCCTAACATGTTCGATTTTGGCTTACCCATAGGAATCCAAGCATGGGAGTACAGTGGCCGTTTTAGGCCAAAATAGTTTAATTTAACAATTTCCCCCCTTTTGGTCAGCCTCTCAAATGTTTGAGAGATTGACTAAAACTTAGGGCACTCGCACCATTCTCTGTCACCATCTTAAATGGCGTTTTCCTGCTCTCAGCATAGAAAGCACGAGTTTTCTCTGGTCCCTAACATGGAATTCACGAGTCACAATATCGCACAAGTCCACCGTGTGTGCTACAGGCCAAATGGGTCTTCCTTTGGTGCTTTCACTGGTCTGGCTGGGTAGAAGGACCAGGAGGACTGCTGTGAAGATTGAAGTGTACTCCTTAATAGAACTCCTACAGAACAAACCCAACTGAATGAAACAGGCTAAGGTTCAGGCAACATAGACAACAGACAGTATTTGAGTTTAGTCATTTTAATAACCTGAAGGCCTACCAGGAGAAATACAAAGATTAAACAAACCTTGAAAATCCCAAGCCTGCCATCCACTCTTCAGGAGGCCTGCAATCCAGTTATTAGTTGTACATCATGCCTTCCTTTAATTTGGCTAAGTGAAGTATCAAACATAAGTTCGAACTTGATTAAAGCTGGATAATATTTCATTAAGCTTTTTAATTTTGTTAAACGTGTATGTTAACGATTCACCATTTGAAGAGTGGCTTTTGCCCACCTGAAACCCCAGGAGGTCTTATTGGCTATACATTTTGAAAATTCTCTCCAGTGTATGGATAAGCTTAAATACAACCGGAATCCCATTGTTGCAAAAAGTGAATCTCCAGGGATCTTACTGACATTTTTTTCTGCATTAATCCATAAACCTAGCAATTTTTCTGTTTTTTTTTTGTTGTTGTTGTTGTTTGTTTGTTTGTTTGTTTTTTCATTATGGCAGAGAAGTCTTGATCTGTGATACTCAGGCATAGCTGTCCAAGATGTCTGTTTTGAAGAAGTTTTCTGGTTAGTTTTACCTTAAAGACTCCAACAGGTGCACAGTTTTTAAAATCTAAAGTAGCACTTCTGAGTTGTGAACCCAGAGTTCAAGTTCTTTTTTCTTTTATTAATTTTTTTAAAAAAATTATATTACATTCAATCACATTATTTAGCTTACAAAGTGAATATTTCAATATGTGAGCATTTCTCCTCAGTCCAGTTGGTCAAAATATCTTCAACTGATAACACCACACCTCCCCATCCTGTCAATGCTCTCCCTCTGTATCCCTCTTCCAAATGTCCTTCCTTAGGTCCCTCTTCTCCACACACACCACATCTGGCACTAACCCCCATCTCTTGTGTTTGTACAACCTTAGATCAAGCAATTTCAGTCATAGAGTACAGACACTAGGTATATATTAAGTGGGGACATACAATGTCTCTCCTGGCTTGTTTCACTCAGTAGTAAATCTTCCACTTCCTGTCAAAAGAAAGGTTTTTTTTTTATGGCTGAATAGTATTCCATAGAGTATATGTGCCACAGTTTTTCAATCCATTCATCCGTACTGGGGTATTTGGTCAAGTTTTTAAAGCTCTACTGCAGTATGAGTGGTGAGAATTTGGTACAATGTCTTCTAATAGGGATCATAGGCAGCCTTTTTTTGCTGTCATTTCCAGAAGACCCCTACTGTGGACCATGGAGGGTTTGATTGTCTTCAGTCAGTGAATCACAAACAGCATGCTTTAGCTGGTGAAAATATACTTTGGCATAATGCATTAAAGCCTGGCAGTTTAGTCACCTAGATTTGTTCAGAAATGTCTGCTGAGAGACATAAATTTTCTAATAACTTTTGGATGACTGTCATAGCATTATCTTCCTTCAGGGAAAAGTTCTTGCACAACCAAAAATATGTAATGAAAATGACAATTAGTGAAATTTTTAATAATATTCAAATGCATATTAGATAGTAGAAATGTTCCTGCAGTTTTCACTGTCTTTTCAATATCAAGTTGACAAATATAACATTGGCTATAAGACATTTTAGCAATTTTAGAGCACTTACTATACTAATACTACCATATAAATGATCAATTTTTAAAATGTAGATTATTTTCTCTATTTTGTGAGTCATTGAACATAGAAGATTTAAAAAATGAGGTATAAGTAGAACTAGGTGGCCATCCATAGGCTTTCAATGAGTCCATGCTTAACATTGGATTTACATCTTTTTATACCAATTTTACCTCTTTAATTTACATGTAGAGCATTGCTTATTAAATAGATTGTTACATGTAATTTGACTTTGATCAATCTTACGGAATTCATTTAAATTGCAGAACTTGGGACCAGCAGTTGGTGTAATGGCTATGTCACTGGACTCCCATGTAGTAGACTGGGTTCGAGTCCTGGACTGGTAGAACTTAACCATTTACATTTGATCTTAGACAGTGGGCCAGGAAGTGATACATAGCTCAACAAGTTTGGTTTTGACTAACTTAGTGTATAATTCTGTCAAAACATTTCTTTGCTTTTGGTTAATTCTGGTTCTGCTTAATGGTTGACCTAGTAGCTTAGAAAACCAATTAGTTTCTCCATAGAAGCTGAAAATTTTTACCCAGTTTAGTGATTAGATCATCAGTAATCTATACATACAAGAATACATTCTCTTTCCACTCCTTTTTATGAATTTCCTTAAAGATATAACACTTTAAGATCATAGTCATTAGAAAAAAAGCTTTTTAGAAAAGCATCAAACAAAGCAATTAACCAGGGGCAATAAGACTTGGACCAGCCATAGTTGAAGATCTGACAAGAGTTTACAACTAAAAAAGAAATTTGGTTATATCTGTGACATACACCAATTTAATATAATAACATATAATATGATTGATAAATATCACACTATAAATCTCTGGGACTCTCAACTCATTTTGGTATGCAGTGTGTATATAAATACACACATACATACACATATACACATAATATATCCATACATATAATTTAAATGTAATATAAAGAAAATTAAAATGACTTAATTGGACAGTGTTTCCCATATCATTTAACACAATAAAATAAGTCTGATTTTTCTAATATCTCTCTTTTGGATGTTTCAGGACCTTCTGTAAACATCCAGAAGTTATTTATTTATTTATTTTTTGGTGAGGTTTTTGCTATAGGGCGTGTGCGCTCGCCAGACAGACGGACAGAGACAGAGAGACAGAAAGTGAGAAATCACTTCCCAGGAGGGATGGCCATGCTGCAATCCCTTCTCCTTCATTCTCCTCTTGGGATCTTGGGCACGCATGCACACGCGCCCTGTGTGAGTTATAAGCCACCGGGTCCGGGACTCAAACCGTGGTCCACTACATGGGAGTCCAGCGACATAGCCATTATGCTAACTGCTGGCCCCAGAAGGGTTGTTTTTTTGTTTTTTTGTTTTTTTTTTGAGAGGTTTTTGCCATAGGGCGCATGCGTTTGCCAGACAAAGAGAGACAGCGGGAAAGAAAGCGAGAAATCATCCCCCCCAGCAGGGATGGCCACGTCACAATCCCTTCTCCTCCATTCTCCTCTAGGGATCTTGGGCATGCATGCACATGCGCCCGGTGTGAATTTTAAGCCACTGGGTCCGGGATGCGAACCGTGGTCGACTACATGGGAGTCTAGTGAGATAGCCATTACACTAACTGCTGGTCCCTCTCCCAGAAGTTATTTTGAGGTAAAAGAATTTAATTTTCATTTTTATTTTGGAGAAACTTTGTCAAATATAGCAAAAAGCATAAGTACTTGACTTAACTCTCAGCAGAAAATATAAGTTTAATGTTCTCTAAGTGCATTAGTAGGATAAAAAAGGGTTGACTCGGTGTCTGTTGACAACCAAAACTAAAAGCAGAATATATGGGCAGACTATAGCAGTCAGATATGACATCCAGAGGTAACAACAAAGCAACCCAACGACCAACACATGTATCACATACAAAATTTCCTTGACAAGATTTAGTTTTTTACCACTTTTAGTCATTAGTCCTGTAAGTGAACCACAGAAGAAGCAAAAATTGAACTTTAGTAGAATTGGTCTTATCTAATAACACTTGAAACTTTTCTTTAACCATTTTATCCTGATTATCTGTGAGAAACAAAATATTAGAAAAGACTAATCATGAATCCATTTTTCTGTTGGTCAGATGCCTACCATGTAACATAACATATAAATACCAGTAGTTTTATTAAACCAACTGTACTAAGACAAATATCATGATGTTTGATCATAGATACCTGGGAAAAGTATGTTGGAAACTGCAAAGGTCCTCACTTACTAAATTATTTTTTTACCATATTTGAAGTCAGCTTATTTGTCAAAGATTTTAAGTCATATGAACTTAAAAAGTATTTAAATTCTTTTTTTTTTTTTTGG